CTTGTTGTCTGTCTGTGCTGTAGTCAAAACCCCATCCCGGGATGTGGGGGGAGCAAGTACAGTCTCTGATAACAGACTCGACGCTTCTTCTCCACTCACTTTTCCTCTTAGATGAAGTTTTAAGGCTACAAAACCTATTTCTGGGCTAGGTGGACAAAAGGGGACACAATTTAACATCACAATCACCCCAGGACTCTTTACTGTTCCACTTCATCCAAATGATACCCCAAAGTTTACCTTCACAGTGTGTTCCATTAATAATGCTGCAGCAGTGGAGCATCATCAAAGGGAAATTCTTCCTCAAGGTACGAAAACCAGCCCTACAATTTGCCAATGGTATGTTGTTCAGACAATTAGCATCAGGAAGGGAACAGTTCCCAGGGACATAGAATCCATCATTATATGGACGATATTTTAATAGCCACTCTAACTCAAAAAGATTTTTCACTAATTCAGCCAAGCCTTTAATGCTAATGCGCAATCCTTAAAAACATTTGGGCTGCAAGTGGCCCCAGGAGAGGTACAGCAGCAACCACCTTGGAAGTACCTTGTGCTCCAAGTTATGGATCAGAATACACAGGCTCAAGTAATTCAATTGTCGACCAAAATGAAGAATTTGAATGATGCCCAAAAACTTCTGGGTCCCATCAACAGGTTCAGAACCTATCTAGGGTTGACTGCTCCACAATTTGCAGTTAGTATTTTGCCTCCTAAAGGATGATCTGACTTCCCGCAGGAAATTAACCCCGGAAGCAACAGCCACTCTGAAATAGTAGAGCAGACCCTCACAAAGAGACAGGTGCACCAGCTTTGCCCAGAAGTGGGTGTCACTGTGTTCATATTCACAGTTGAATTCCATCCTCCTGCAGTTATTGGACAGTGGGGTACTCAGTGGTCTGACCCTTTACATGCTTTAGAATGGATGATCTTAGCCCAGCAGCCTAAAAAGGCAGCCCCTACCATCTTGGAATGAATTGCCCAGCGAATCATGGAATGTCAAAAAAGGTGCTTACAATTGACTGCAAAAGATCCTTCAAAAATCGTGATAGCTGTCAGACAAGAAGAATTTGCATGGTGTTCTGCCAAGAGCACAGCTTTGCCAAGTGCCTCACAAAATTTCTCAGGGCAAATCAGTGACCGTCTACCGAGTCATACGTTGCTGCAAATGAGTAGGACCACTGCAATATCCCTGAAAGTGCTGAATGCTAGAACAACCCTTTAAAGGTACTACTGTGTTCAGTGATGGCTGGGATTTACATTCATATTTATCATGAGAGGACTTGAGTATTTTGTCTCTCGGAGTCAAAAGGCACAATTAGACAAGTTCTTTTCCCCATTCTTTAGGTTTCCCACGCTTCCAAGGTTAAACCGGCCTTAGAGTGAAGTGGCAAAGTTGTAATGTTAAGTTCCTAAACCACCTGCAAGCCACTTGGAGACTTTGTATCGCTGGTAATCCCACTTGACAGCTCCAGGGTGCCACTGTTGCATTGCCAATGATACAATGGGATAGGTCAGTGGCTGAAAGCAGCTAGGCCTGTGGAATCAGCTGGAAGGTCAAAGGGCCGGGTTTGTCACCCTTGTCTCCAAGGGCCCTGGAGACAGGATGACAGATGCTACTTATGGATTCAGCAACAAAAAGGGGGGACGTTGGGGATGTTTTGGCTGCCCTGCTCTTCCTTGCCTTTGTCTGGAAATGCAATTGCACTTTCTTCTTCATGCAGAAGTTCCACGGCTGGGCAAGAAGCGGCCAACGGGCCATATTCCAAAGGCAGCGTAGACTGGAGTTGCTAAAGAAAGGAGTCTGTTCCTAGTTGCAAAGCGCACCAGAATAGCCACAGGAGGGACATTTCAGAAAGAATGGGCAATTCCAAAGTAAATGTTGAGCCATATTCCCAGGGAGACAAGGAAAGGAATCTTCCAACTGGCTTGAGGGTTTTAAAGATGTTTTTATTCTGGCTGTGAGCTGGCATTGGAGAAAGTAATGCTGAAGTGCACCTGGTCATGCTCTCTGCTTCCTCGATTGCTTCCCTGCAAGTTTCCTTCATTTTCATTTGCAAAGCACCTGGAGTGGAGATTTATGTGGCGGGGGCCCTTGTGATCTGTAGAAGGAATAGCAGAAGTACTAACTAAAAGTCATAAAAACAGCAGCAGTAGGAAAGCAGCCACACAGCCAATCCATTTCTCTGGAGCATTTGGTCTCCAGTGACTGCTGACAAGGCAGGAGTCTAAAGGCAGTCTAGGAAGCCATCTGCTCTGATCAGCTTGGCCAGACCAGCACACACACGTTGACTGGGCCATTTGCTGGGTCACAAGGGCCAGCTAAGAGACAAACCCCTCCCAGACGATCAGTGTCCAGAGAAGCAGTGCCCATTAGGAGCCCAGAGGAGTCCAAAACAACACGCAAACTCTCTGTCCACACCCTTTGCCTCTTGATTGGCTCTGCTTCATACCTCTTCTTGGTAGCTTGAATGATGGCAACTTCCTGCTTCATCTCAAGCCGCTATTTCTCCTGCTCCCTCTGCACCTCTGCCGGGAAGTGTTCCCGTTGCTCCAGCAGCTGCTGTGCCTGCAAACGCTGTCGTTCCATCTTGTTTGCCTGCTGAGGGGAGGAAAACACTTCCAGATGAAGTCCCAGCCAAGCTCCCCTAAAAAACAGTGCAAGCCGCATGCCTCACACAACCCCCCCATCTGCAAAGTGCACATTAGGAATGACTTTGTGCCTTCCAGCAATGCTGTCCTAACCAGAAGTTTAGGAGGGGGATTAGCAGATGGGAAAAAAGGAGATGCCACCTTCCTCTCCTGTTCTGATGGCCGCCTGTTGTTTCCTGGCCCCTCGCTCCTCAGGGTGTCTGCCTGTTCTCAGAGGCTCTGTTCTCCAAGTGCTGAAGTGGTCCTTGCCATCTCCTCTGTTTCCTGCATTACTTTGCTGCAGGGATGGCAGCAATCGGGCTGTCAGAAGAGGCCGAAGAGAGGCTTGGCTAATTTGAGAAATGGATGCTGCCCAAGAAAGAGAAACAAAAGAAACCAAATTACAAGAGACAAAGGCAAAAGAAACCATTCTTTTCCAAACTGAGCTCCTAACAGGCTCAAGCTGGTTTCCTCTAGTGCCCAGAAATGCACAGACACAAGCAGCAAAGTGCAAATAGACTCAGTTCTCTTCTTGGCTTGCAAGGAGAGAAGTGTGTTCCTTAGCATGCCCTGCCCCACCTGTGCTGGCTGGCATCTTCCACCACAGCAGGGACAGCCAAGGAAGTGGCCTGGTCACCAGCTCCCTGTCTAACACAAAAGCTGGCAGCAAAGCCGCAGCGCTTCTCACTGACTTGACCGGGCCAGGTAGCACATGGGGCTGGCACAAATGCTGCTCAGCTGTCCTTGTTTGGCTGGCAGCAACCTCTAAGAGTGGGGCAGGAGGGACAAGCTGGGTCCCCTCTGAGGCTCACAGTCAGCCTCCCACAGCCCCTGCCTTCCCACAGATCAACCTAGAACCGCTTGGCAGGGACTGCTTTCGTTGTGTTTTCCAAACGCCACTGTGGGCCTCTGTCCCCAGCATTGCGATACTTCAGTTCCTTCGCTAGCAGGTAAACCTGAAAACAGCACCCGAGAGCAAAAGAGGGCCTCAGAAATGACCAGAAGCTGGGAGCTCTCCTCTGAGGAACACCTGTGAGAACTGGGCTTCTTTGGCCTGGAGAAGGACAAGCCCCGAGGAGACAAGTTCAATAATTGAAGGGGCTTTGGAGAAAGATGGGGACACATCTAATTAGCAGGGCCAATTGCAAGAGACAAAGGGGAAAAGGTTTGAAACTAAAAGAGAGTCCATTCAGACTGGCTCTAAAGAAGAAACTCTTTAGCAGGAGAGTGCTGAAACGCTGGCACAGGTTGCCCAGAGAGCTGGCAGGTGCCCCAGCCCTGGACTCATTCAAGGTCAGCTTGGCTGGGGCTCTGAGCAACCTGATCTACTTGAAGATGTCCTTGCCAGTAGCAGGGGGTTTGGATTAGATTAACTTCAGTGGTCCCTTCCAAGCTCAACCAGTCTTGCATCCTGCTTGGTTTTCATTTGAAAAGCAACCGGAGCGGAGATTACTATGGGGGGGACAACCCATCTGATGCCTTACAGAGTTGGGCCAAGGAGCAAACCCTGTTTGCCAGGGAACAGCTGTTTGGCCTGCAGCCGCTCTGCATTGTACCTTCAGAAGTTCCTTGGCAGAGCCTCGCCTGTCCACATCCATCTGCAGGCAGCAGCCCAGGAATTCACACAAGCCCGGGTGTAGGCTGAGCTCTTCCAGATCTGGTATTCCTTGGGTGCTGATCAGATAGTTAGCCTGAGGAAAAGGGAAACATGAGACTCTACCTAATTTTTTCCTATCCTTAAGTGCCCACCTAGTCCCCATATTTTAAGCTGCAGTCTGCAGTGGCAATTTCTTGTCCAGCAGAGGCTTTGAGATGAGCCTTGTCTCCCAAAAGAAGAAAGGGCTCCTCCAGTGCAGCCCCAG